ATATAGTTAAGTAGAAGTTCCCTCAAAAATGAATGTAGAAAGCATATCACTTTGAAGGAAAACTGACAAAACTTGTTGCCAATGACACAATACATGTTTTTAAGCAAAAGTAGAATTTTGGAAAGTTTCTGCCACTGTGATCTTGACACTTTCCCAATAATCAAATTATAACTATATTAAGAAAACATGGTTTCTTGTCTAACAAAATGTCAGTATTTGGAGATGTGCATAATTTAGTGAACCAATACTTCTCAAGTGACCAAGCATGGGTTAAAAAGAAAAAAAAATATGCGTGGGTAAACAATTCATTCAAAGAGCAAGACAGACCAACATATTTTAACACAAAACAAAAAAAGTTGGCTGATACAGTGTCAAGAATCTATACAGCAACTGTCTTAAAAAAAATCCACTTTTCAATTTGGCATATGGGATCCAAGAAGAACATATGCAATCATCCAAAAAGCCCATTAAAATACTACTTTCCTTCCAACAACACATGTATATGAGGTCCAATTTCCTTTTATATGTAAAGAAAACAACATACTGTAAGAGAGTCAATGCAGAAACAGACAAGAGAATCTGAATGTCTTCTACTAGTTAGACATTAAAAAAATTTGTAAAAATGCAAAACAGAGGCCGGCATTGTGGCATAGTGGGTAAAGCCGCCACCTGTGTTGGCACAGCCCATGTTGGTGCCGGTTTGAGTCCCAGCTGCTCCACTTCTAATCTACTTCCTTGCTAATGGCCTGGGAAAAGCAGGGGAGGGTGGCCCTGACACCCACATGGGAGACCTTGATGGGGCTCCTGGCTTCAGCCTGGTCCAGCCCTGGCTGTTGCAGCCATCTGAGGAGATGAAGATATCTCTTTCTCTGTCCCTAATTCTCTCAATTGAATAAGCTACTTGGGACACCTACATGCCATATTGGAGCATCTGATTCAAGCCCTGGCTCCACTCCTGACTCCACCTTCCCATTAAATGTGCACCCTGGGAGGTGACAGGTGATGATGGCTCAGGTAACTGGGTCCCTATCATCCACACTGGAGACCTGGACTGAGTACCTGGCTACTGGCCTTAAGCTGGCCCACTCTGGCTGTTGCAGGCCCTTGGGGGAATGAACCAGCAGATGGGTATCAATCAATCAATCAATCAATCAGCCTTTCAAGTAAATAAAAATTTAACACTTAGACTCACTGGAACAGAAAATAAAATTAGGAGATGGGTGTTTGGCATATTAGTTAAGCTGCCACTAGGAATGTCTGCATCTCGTCATCAGAGTGCCAGGGTTCCAGTACTGACCCCACTTCCCTCCCATCCAGCTTCCCACTACTGTGCACTCTAGCATACAACAGAAGGTGGCTAAGTACTGGGGCCTCCACCACAAGGGCACGATTTGAATTGAATTCCTGGTTCCTGACTACAGTCTTGGCTGTAACTGGCATTATGGGGACTGAATCCATTGATGGAAAATCTACCTCTTGCTGTCCTTCTTTTTCTGTAACTTACCTTTCTATTAAATATTTTTAAAAAATGAATTTTAAAAAAGATATACAAAATGCCAACTGTCCAAGTTTGGAAGAAATGAGTATTTATGCCAGAGCCACATATTAATATTCAATTCACAGGTAAATTGACAAGGTTTTTAGGTATTTATATGAAAAGTACTAACATCCAACAATAAACCTGAGCTCCAGTACTGAATCACACTACTCTACTTATCTCTACTGACTTCAAATAACAGAAACAAAATGTTCTCATCAAATAATATCTGTAGTTTTCTAGTGCTTGTTTTAAAATAAGTACTAACTGCATTCTAAATATTACAGCAGGTATATAGCATAAAAAATAACCAAGGGGCCGGCGCTGTGGAGTAATGGGTAAAGCCGCAGCCTTCAGTGCCAGCATCCCATATGGGCGCCAGTTTGAGTCCCGGCTGCTCCACTTCCAATCCAGCTCTCTGCTATGACCTGGAAGAGCAGTGGAAGATGGCCCAAGTCCTTGGGCCCCTGCACCTGTTGTGGGAGACCTGGAAGAAGCTCCTGGTTCCTGGCTCTGGACCGGCACAGCTCCAGCCATTGTGGCCAACTGGGAAGTGAACCAGCAGATGGAAGACCTCTCTCTCTCTCCTTGCCTCTCCTCTCTGTATAACTCTGATGTTCAAATAAATAAATAAATCTTTTAAAAAAAATAACCAAATGAACGGTTCACTACCCATATGCAGCTTCAGAAGCAGAGCATCAATATTACCCTATGAACCCCCCACCCCAAAGCAGCCACTCTCCTGAAGTTTTTCACTACTTTACTTTTCTCCAGCATTAAATTTTCATTTAACTTACCTCACCTATTTCATTTATTAAAAAATAAGCACATATATTATATTCCTAGAATATATAAATTCTAAAGGACATGATTCCTAGCCAACATAAACCAAGCATAACAAAAACCCGCCTGTGTTCTAAAATGGTTAAATGGACACACAAAAGGAAGTTTTCAATTCTTCTGGGGAAATCAAGAAAATGTTCGTGGTGAAGTAAGGTTTGAACTTGAGTTTTAAAGAATAAATACTTACTAGGTAAAAGTAAGGGGAAATTCTTCTAATCCCAAACAGGGAAAAGACATTGTCAAAGGGCACAGGTGAGAAAGCTGAATAAAGCCAGCAACTCCAAGTACGGCTGGCACATAAAGTCCAGAGATGAAGTTGGAAAAGTAGATGGAGACCAAACTCTCAGAATAAACTGGGAGCTTCTACTCTAAGAAAATGGAATGAAGTAGAGATCTGTTTTATTGTTGCTACATCCATCCCATTTAACAGCATACCCCATTGTACATGGACTTTGGACTTGGGATACATCACTTCCTTTGGCTAACAGGAGAGGAGCAAATCTGATGGACTGTACCCGTCTACTGGATCTCCCTTGCAGCTTTTTCCTTTGCCATGAGAAGGGCTCTCCATAGCTTGTAGCAAAGTGAGCAATCACACAATCAAGCAGTCCCAGCTAAAGCTGTCCTAGACTGGCCAAAAGAATGTGACTCCCAGGGGTAATGAATGAGCTCAGCCAAAACCAAAGAATTACCCAGGCTCATGAGCAAATAAATGTTTATTATCATTCCACTGAGGTTTTGTGGGTGTTTATAACAGAATTAACAGATAACTGAAAGAGAGACTGAAGGTAACCATGCAGTTCAAGCAGAGGTGTTATGTGGACAAATAAGTCTTTAAGGACTGTATTGAAAAATAAACAATGGATCTGGGTATCAACAATGAAGACAAAAAAGTTGTGGGTTTTTTTGTTGTTGGTTGTTTTAGATCTGGTTATTTATATGAGAGAGAGAGAGAGAGAGAGAGAGAGAGAGATCTCAAATCTTCCATCTGCTGGTTCACTCCCCAAATAGTCACAACAGCCTCGGCTGGCGGGTGGCAGGGGCCCAAGCACTTGGGCCATCATCTACTGCCTTCCCAGACACATTATCAGGAAGCTGGATGAGAAGAAAAGCAGCCAATACTTGACTCGGCCCTCTGATATGGGATGTCAGTGTCACAAGCAACAGCCAGCCCTAACAAACAGTTTAAGAAATCACAAAGCTGGAATCAGCCAAAAGGAAGAGAGGAAAAGAAACTGGGAATGCAGCACTGGCTGCCCAGCCAGGGGAATTACGCACGAATTCAGATACACTCAAGGGAGAGGAGGGAGCACGTGAAAAGGAGCCCTGGGCTGACTCCAAGAGTAATTATGGATATAATCAGTTTAGATTTAAAATAGTTTAGGAGGTATAAAACACATATTTTTTAGATGTTTTTATTGAGAATAATAATTTCAGAAAACTACTTTAATACTGAAAAGGGATAGTCATTTTTACATACTTTTGCCAGTGTTAAGAAAAGAAATCAGAATTTCAAGTTATCTTTGAAAAAAAGTAACCAAATAATTACGTGCAGGAGAACAAAACAGGCAGGCAAGAACCAGATTCCTAGGATTACAGACACAGCATCAGTTCTTCTGAGGTGGACTTTCAAGAGCAAATTCATTGAGTTTTAAATCAGATCTTTTAGCTTCCTTTTCATTCATGACTTCTACTGTTTTGGTATAGCTTATTTTTCACTTTATAATCTAAATGAGCTTAGAAGGAAGATACAGTTAAAAAAAAGTTCTACAGGGGCCGGCACTGTGGCTCAGTGGGTAAAGCTGCCAGCTGCAGCGCTGGCATCCCATAGACGCCAGTTTGTGTCCCGGCTGCTCCACTTCTGATCCAGCTCTCTGCTGTGGCCTGGGAAAGCAGTAGAGGATGACCAAAGTCCTTGGGCCCCTGCACCCGGAGAAGCTCCTGGCTCCTGGCTTCGGACTGGCACAGCTCCAGTCGTTGTGGCTACCTGGGGAGTGAACCAGCGGATGGAAGACCTCTCTCTATCTCTCTCTCTCTCTGCGTCTCCATCTCTCTGTGTAACTCTTTCAAGTAAATAAATAAATCTTAAAAAAAAAGTTCTACAAAGAATTGAAAAAAGAATACTTTATCTTAGCATATAATTATGCACATGTTTAATTCAAACCCGTAAGCCTAAACCATCTTACTCACCATGAAGTAAGCATACAAATACACAGTTTATATTAAAAATATCATTTATGAAAATTGCCAAAATAATGAGGACAGTGAGAGGTCAGAACATCAGAAGTATTTTTTTCCAAAGGAAATAAAAATAATAGAGGTGACAAGGATGCGAAAAAAGAAAGATATAGGGTTCTATTTCTGGGCTAAAGCAGCTTAAAAAGTAAATGATATAAAAATAGCCATTTCTACTTATCTCTATTAGATTTGCTTGTATTCTAGTAGTTAAAAAAAAATTAGGTACAGAAGCTGAAATCCAAGAGTACTTACACCAAACTTGCTGACCACAAGTTGTGTTGATACCGCTACAGACAGACATTAGAGAAGAATACAATCACACAAAGAGTAGTGCACACCCGTGCCCTGGTGTAACAGTGGACTAACGTGCCCACGAACTTGCCTCTTTCTCAGTGTCCCGGGAGATACATGTCCACTGGTTCTCCTTCACACTGTATGCCCAGAAGTCGGCCAGATCTTGTGTGCCATCCCAGCCACCAAACAAATACACAGTTTCTGTGGAAGTCAGAAAAATATGTGTAAAAAATAAAATTTAGGAGAAACTAAGCAATGGCAACCAGACATTGCCAATTGTTTCCACAATCATTTGGGAAAGTACATCTAAATAAATTTTAAAATGAAGTTTTTAAACTGGTAACTTGCCAGTATTTCCTATACATGAGAAAACAGAAATGTTGCTGCAGAATCACTGTTTGGAGCAATCTACAAAACTATGGATAATGAGGAAGTGCTTCCCAAGATTCTAATTCCAAGGTCTTCAGTTTGTATTTTTTAAACATCTCAAGTGAATCTGATGTTAAGCCAGTTAAGGAATTTGTGTTAAAACATGAAAAGTTTACATTTTTAGCTTCTTAACAATCTATATTTTACTACCAGAGACCTAGGTAATCTTTTTACTCAGAATGTAATAAAGAGAAACCCCAGAGGAATACATAGCCTAAGAGGATAACATACAGACATCTAGCTGTTTTTGAAAAACTGTTACATTAAAGGTGGTTTTTTCTCTGTTGCAATACTGAAAACAATATTTAAAAGTAGCTATAGGGGCTAGAGCTGTTGTGCAGCAGGTAAAGCTGCCGCCTGCAGTGCTGGCATCCCATATGGGCGCCGGTTTGAGTCCCGACTGCTCCACTTCCGATCCAGCTCTCTGCTATGGCCTGGGAAAGCAGTAGAGATGGCCCAAGTGCTTGGGACCTGCACCCATGTGCGAGACAAGGAAGAATCTCCTGGCCCCTGGCTCCGGGCAGCTCTGGCCCTTGCAGCCAACTGGGGAGTGAACCAGCAGATGGAAGACTCTCTCTTTCTCTGTAATTCTGCCTTTTAAATAAAATAAACCTTTAAACAAAAAAATAACTGTAGGTTAAAGTTAGATATTTTCAGAATCAAGTGATGTTTAACTTTGCTATTTCCAATAAAGGTGGTGAAATTTTTCTAAATATATTGTGGTACTCCTCAAAAAGTAACCTCTATGTAATTGCAGGTATCAAGAATTTAGTTATTTTTGACTCTAAAATACCTATTACAGTTATGAATTCTCTTTATCACTGTGACAAAACTGATTTCTGTCTCTGTGAATAATGAGTATTTACACTAACATTTTACCTCATAGATCCTTCTTCACACAACTGCAGTGCCTCCCTCTCCTTCAAGCATTTTTCTCCTTTGCCAAATGTCTTAGGCCTATTGGTTACGTAAGCTCAGCTATTTTTTTTTTTAAGTTAACAATACAGGAAAACTTACAAAGCCATCTACTCTCTAAATGGCATGATCTAGGCCTAATATGTTATGACCATCATCTAATCCCGTATCATGAAAGGCTACGATTCAAGTGCACTTGGAAGTACTGTGACGCATTTAAGGAACTTCTTGCCTTTCACAGTTGGGCTGTCTTCTCAGAGATTTTTGTCATATTTTCAGATAATCTCAAACTCTAAGTGAATTTTCTAAATGAAACACTCGTTCTCTGCCCCAACAATCTGGGGGAGTCACAATGCGCTTCTGCGCTCTGGGTAAGGGAAGCCCACTGGAATAGCACTGAGGTCTAGTGCTAACTGGCTGAGCAAACACACACCATGTAACCTCCTGGAGTCTTAGTTTTCTCACTGTTTGAGCTTCTTCAAATACAAAATACCTGAAAACATTCTCAAGGCTGTCAAACATGGCCAACATTCCCACCTTAACATGCACAAAATACACCATCTATCTGTAACAAGTATCACAGATGCAATAAAAACAGTATTGTTCTATCTGATTCCATGCCTAATTCAGTACTCAGAACATTTTTGAACCCGAACAAATGTGAAATAGCAGCAATTATTTTAAACTACTAAAAAGTTGTCACATCTCACAATTACAGAACAACGCATTATCATTAGTGAAGCAATATTCTGTTTCCCAAATGGTACAACGTTACATCCAGACATTGACAATTTTATAGAAAAAGAAATTAAAGAATTTTCATCTGGCTTAAAAATTATCTGCCAAGGCCTCACTATAAAGGCAATTAACACTTAGATTCCGACGCCTGGAGAGAGACAGTATATAACTAAAACAGCAATAGCAATTGACCTTTTGTTTTATAGTGTTTCTGGGCACCCTCTGGATAAGGTTACCCTGGTTCATTAACTTTAATAACCCTTCCTCATGGGCTCTGGGTTCTCAATGTTCTTTCTGAAAAGCAGGTCTCTTTGTACAAAAAAATTCTCACAGCAAAGAAAACCCACATTTCCACAACAGCCTCATTGATAGCTGAGCAAAATAAAATCTGGCGCAGAGCAAGCTTCTCAATGGAATTAAGCCAAGATGTCATTTCTGTCCATAAAAGCTCTGCAGTCTCAGTTGAAGTTTAATAGTAAAATTAAATGAATCAAATGGACCTACTGACGTATTCGAATTAAAATACACAGCAAAAAAAAGGGGGGCAAAAAAAAAAAAAAGTTTGATTAAATCATCTACTTGATTCTCTCGGAGATAAATTATTGTCTAGAAATAAATACCACCAAAAGCATTATTTGATGCATAAGGTTGAGAATTATGGAAACAGTTGGGAAGAAAGCATTAATCTCTGGGCAGGGTAACAGACTTGTTTACTGGAAGCCCTTTCGGCCCAGGTTCTGTAACAATCCAGATACATCCTCCTGGGGCAGTAGGATCCCCTCAAGCAACAACTTTTTTTTTTTTTTTTTTTTTTTTTTTTTTTACAGAGCCTGGGTTTTACTGTCTCCATTTCTCCTGGCACTGAAGGGAATGTTTATTCAATATTTTTGAGTACTGATCTGAACTGGTAACACACTTTAAAGAGAAGAAGAAGAAATAAAACAGAGAATCAGTCCTCAAAGAGCTTACAATCTAGTCAGGAATACAAAACAGGAACACAAATTACCATCACTCAGGGTAGACTAGGGATCAAAACGAGGGGAGAAGCAGCAGAGGGAAGGCAGTACACCTGCCGAGGGCTCGGGAAAGGTTAGTGGTGACAGTGCTATTTGATCCACGCATCAGAAAGCAGCTTTGTGTTCTGGTAGGCAGAATAGCGGACAGAAAAGAAGCCCTTTCAAGCAGAATAGAAAGAATAACAGAAGTACAGAGACACAAAAACACACCAGAGGTGTTTTAAAGGTCAGGTTCATTTCACTACAATCCTGGTTCTATCATACAGCTATAGCAGCGTGTTAAATTCCTTAACCAGAGGTTTCCTAATCTCTAAAATGGGATACAGCACTTAACGCATAAAGTGACTATGAGAATTAAGTAATGGATGTAAAGCAGTTAAACTGTGTGATAAATAAATTCACTGTCTGACATAAAACAAAATAGGTAGTAGCTGAAGATTTTTAAAGATTTTTTTATTTATTTGGAAGTCAGAGTTACAGAGACAGAAGAAGAGAGAGAGAGAGGGAGAGAGAGAGAGAGAGAGAGAGAGAATGAGAATGAATCTTCCACCTACTGGTTCACTCCCCAAATGGCCAAAATAGGCAGGGTGAGGCCAGGCTAAAACCAGGAGCTTCTTCCCAGTCTCCCATGTGGTTGAGGGGTGCAAGGACTTGGGCCATCTTCTACTGCTTTCCCAGGCCTTAGCAGAGAGCTGGATCAGAAGAGGAGCAGCCAGGACTGGAACAGGCAACCATATGGGATGCCAGCACTTCAGGCCAGGGCTTTAACCCCCTGCACTACAGCGCCGGCCCCACCATTAAATTTTAAGATCAGGGCTTTGAACTTGACTCCACAAAGAAGAATTTAAGCACAGGTACAACAAGGTAAGATAGGAACTGTTAACAAACAGAGCTCACTAATAAGGAAGAGTTAATGAATGAGGGGGATTACAGATAAAGTAGCTGATAACAGCTTGTGTTCAAAATGTCAGACAACTTCCTCTAAGACACTAAATCAATCAGTCATTACTCATGAGAGAAAGACAACCACAAAAATAAAAGTCAGCTATATTCTTTGGTACTGAGTATGCACCAACTTGGTACCAGTACCAAATAAACTCTAGAACTCTTACTAACAGTAGCACCAATTTGCACATCTTACACACACAGAAAAAAAGGTAGAAATGTTAAAACATGAAGTCACTGGTGTTCAGACCATTTAACACACTGAAGCAGGCTTTTTATTTTAAGTGCTCAACTTCAATACCCACAGTCCTACTGATTCTTAGGCGTAACGTCAGATCACGCTTGCTGCACAATTCTCCACAAGATGGCACACTGTTCCCATGACTAAACCAGCTCCCCAGGTTGCAGCTGTGCAGAACCCACATCACATACACTGACACGATGTGACAAAATTCATGCATCAAAAAAAAGGTAGGAAAAGGAAGGGTGGTGAAGGAAGTTGGTTTAATTCTTGGTTTAACTAGACACCAAGAGAAAAACAAGTGAAATACAAAAATAGGTTTTAAGAAACATAAATTTACCTTCCAGATAAAAAAATTAAATTCTGTGAGGACATTTAGATTAAGAACTTAAATCTTTCAAAAGTGCTGTTTACTAAGACCCTAAACTGACATAAGAGTTTTTGAAGGGAATACATTAGATACGAAAAGGTATTTTATATGCGTCTTAGCTTTCTTTCTTAAACCATTCCCTTAACTATTATGATCCAGGAGATTATCAGCAGGATTCACCCACAGCCCTTTTTTTTTTTTTTTTTTTTTGACAGGCAGGGGGGGACAGTGAGAGAGAGAGAGAGAGACAGAGAGAAAGGTCTTCCTTTGCCGTTGGTTCACCCTCCAATGGCCGCCGCGGCCGGTGCGCTGCGGCCAGCGCACCGCGCTGATCCGATGGCAGGAGCCAGGTGCTTCTCCTGGTCTCCCATGGGGTGCAGGGCCCAAGCACCTGGGCCATCCTCCACTGCACTCCCTGGCCACAGCAGAGAGCTGGACTGGAAGAGGGGCAACCGGGACAGAATCCGGTGCCCCGACCGGGACTAGAACCTGGTGTGCCGGCGCCGCAAGGCGGAGGATTAGCCTAGTGAGCCGCGGCGCTGGCCAT